GCTCATCTCACAAGGATTACTTGTCTCAGTCCACCCCAGGCTTGTCCCTCACCTGGAGTGAAAATCGACTTTCAACCCTTGTTCGAGTCGCTTAACTCATCTCTTTCATTCTGCTCGTCTCGCTAATCTCGCAGGACTTACTAGCCTTACTGGGGAGCTTTTTCCAGCCCGGTTTTTTACACCCACTCGAGTTGCTTGACGAGCCACATCTTGCTGTACTTTCTTACATGTGCATCCAGCTTGTCTTTCGGCCTTGTTCGTCTCACTGGCTTTGCTTATCTAGCCAACGAACACACTCCAAGGGTATCTGTTCTCCGCAGTACCAGGTTTAAGTCTCTGGTAAGACCTCGAAAGCCGTAGATGCTTCTGCCAATTGAATCTCCAACCTACTCAGGATTGGTAGCGTTTGACTGGGGCCGCCGGGCTCGTCACACCCGTCACTCCGGTTACGCGTTTTTGATTTCGTCCTATTACAAGTTTATTGCTTACTCCATAATGCTGTTTTCGTATAGCCTTAAAGTTGGCATCTATGTACTTCTACGTCTTTGAGTGTTATGAAACTATCTCCAAACACATGAATTCTACTACTTCCGGACTGCAACCCATCCTCCTAGATCCTGATTGACACACGTTTATCGAATTGGTACTTACCCGTTTTTTCTATTTTTCAACTAGTAGCGTTGAACCAAATGTTTTTAACCGCTATATCTGCTGGTGATATGTGTTGAATAGCGCTCAGCGCAGCCTTCAGCAAAGTCTTCAGTAATCCTGCTACAGGCTGCTGTCCGCTATACTAGATTGCCTTAAAAAAAATCACATTAAATCGCAATAAATTTTAATTTCTGTTTTTTTATATGCGTAAAGATACACAATTGATTCTTTCAACTTCTTCTCCACATTTAGTTTTCATGACAGTTTTCTCGGTATAATGGATGTATTACACACTAAAAAATGTGGAGTGCCACTAACGTGCTCTGACAGAGTGAAGTATCCTGGCTTGATCGTTGACAATGAGCGAACTGGAAGGCCTCTCGCCCAGGGTAGTTCATTGCCAAATTGAAGCCGTAAGTATCTGGACCCACTGCCATATGAACTTATTCACCGGTGAATCGAAGTTTATGGCAAGGTAGAAGGAAATATCTTTTGCGAGGAACACTCAGGAAATGAATTATTTTCAACTCGATCGCAAGAGATCATTTCGCTATTAAGCTAAATTGGGTTCCAATCAAGTAACTGCGTGGCCATTGAGCTAGCAAAATAGGGAACTCTTGGGAAGTTTTCGCCGAGCTCAGCGAAAATGTGTCAAAGCGGCCTTTGGGGCTTACGGGATTAGTGATTAGCGATGGCGGTGCTGAGAGTTTTTCAACCATTTTTGTCCAGCGAAAACATCTTAAGAGGGGAAATGAGAATTGAGGAAAGCCTTATTTTAGAATTTGGTTAAAAAACACCCCATCTCAGAATTTGGTTGAAGAACACGCTATCTCAGAATTCTGTTCAACGACGCATTATCTCAGCTGCCGATTCAAAAACGCCTTATCTCAGCACATTTCCAATGTGTTTTGAATTGAGATAGGGCGTTTTTGAGCCGAATTCCGGGATAGGGCTTTCTTCAACCAATTTCTGAGATGGGGTGTTTTAAAAAAAAAAATTCTAAAGAACGCCTTTTAGTCAAATTCTGAAATAGGGCGTTGTTGAAAAGTTTTCTGAGATACATAGTGCGTTTTCGAACTCGCTGCCGAAATAGGTCGATCTTCCTCCACTCAGCCATCGATATGTACATTCCAATTACAATTTAGTGACGATTGAGAAAAAGCTAAACAATTAGCTGCAAAATTCATACGCGCCCAAGCGTTCCAAGCGTTCCAATAAGCTTACCTCATTAAAAATACTCAACCTCAGCTCCTCGCTACTTTTCGATTTTCGGTCATTTCACCTTTCAGTCGCCTTCCGATTTAATGTGTTGACATTAACGGCGTCATTCGCCAAATTGAAAGTATCTGAGCATGGTATCTGTGTATCTGATAGTGTACTTATAACTCTGTCTGCCCACAAAACGCCACACTGCAGCCAGCATATCGCGCTGTGCATAGGTTAAATGTTGCTGCTGCTAATGATTTGCTGGTTTATTGCTGTCAACTTGCCTTCTACTATTGTCGTCATCGTCTGTCGTCTACCTGTTTGCTTTGGATTACTTGACTTGGCTCGGATGGCTGGCTGCGCATTATTTGTGAGAGACTCTTAGCGGTGTCGAGCGTATAATTTGTTGAATGGTTTTTAATTTGGAATTATGTTTAATAAAAATAGCAGTTGCATAAAATGCCAGCTTGTCGCATGGTGAGATAGCCGTGCAAAAGCTGGCGACAATAGTTCGCTATTTATGGGTGTACGTGGTAATGCAGGCCAACGGAGAGATACTAGCTCTGATTGCAGACAAAGAAGTATATCTACATATAATCATGAGGTGCATTCCACTTAAAACGGTTACACAATTGGTTTTCCTACTAAATTTTTGCCGTTTGGACGTTTCAGTTTGTGTTGTGCGCTTTCCAAAAGTAGTGGCATAAAGTTAAACACCGTTTCCGTACGGCAAACGGTTTGTGGAGCGAAAATTTGTCCATTTTCGATAAAGATGTTTAACCTGCAGTTAGCTTTAACCAGACATTGAGTAAGTTAGGTTAGGTTAGGTTAAACGGGCAGCTCTGAAAAGAAGAGTTCACTCGGAGGCCGCAGAGGCCCATTGTGATGCCCATGGGGGTTACCCCAAGCCTATCCCTGCATGTCTTCGAACCATTTTGATTTTCTGGCGAATCCTAGCTGTCCTTCCAGAGGAGCTTTCCCCAAGATATCCAGATTCTCGAAGAAATGGTCCCCAAGAAACTTGAGGCGTTTTCCTCGAAGTGCTGGACGGATTCTAACTCCTCCTCATCCCTGCAGCTTCTACAGAAATCATTATGCGGGGCTCCGAACCTGGCGGCCAGACATTGAGTAACTGGTCCTAAAGTGTCCCTGGTATGAAAACGATCCATGACTAGTCGCTCGAATAGACAATTACGTCGTCTGTAAAATAGACGTAGGTAACATTTACGAAATAAATTTTCACACTTTGCAAGCAGTATGCTAGCTATTCGCGATAGAATGGCAAACCAAACTCAGCACAATTGATTATAGCGTTGCCAGATCTTATTCACTTCGCAAGACTGCCATTTAGGTCGTGTGTTTCTAGGTACGGTGATCCTAGCAAGCGAAGTCTGTTCGTAGTGACGGTTTAAAGAGTGGAACATAATGTACTCTGCTGTTTCCTATTCTTCGTGGCACAACTCCTATGTTTAGCAAGCGTTTCATTACCCTGAAGTGGCCTCCTTTTTGATATTTCCGAAACGAAGGACTTATCCCCTCTGTTACCTTCCGTATTTTTACATTAATGTTGCGCTTCATTCTGCATCCAGAAATGGTAGTTTTGCCTAAGGGAGGTCCTGGGCAGCCTCCTTTTCTTTTATTGCCCACGACTCCACTATGTGCCTGTACCTAGGTGATTTACATACAGATATCCGGTTACTGAATGAGTATTAAAAGCTGAAGGCTTTAACAGAGAAAAATACAGACGCTCCATTCAAAAGATCCGAGTTCGAGTCGGATTACTTTTTACTTTATTCTAAATTAATTTTGTTTTATTTTTTAAACTGATTTTCTTTTAATTGTTAGATATTATTAGTTAAAAATATATATATTTTTTAACTTACTTAAATTTTTGGAAACTTATTTTATATATTTTTTCTTTTTCAATAAAATTTTTTTCCTTTCTTAATTTAATTTTCTTTCAGATTTGAGATTTTCTTGTTGTGTTAGTTTTTTTTTTTTAATTTCGTTTAATTTTCAGGAACCTTTTTTTTTGCTTTTTCAAATTTGTTTTTCTTTTTTAAATATAAAAAAATTTAATTTCACTTAATTTTCAGAAACTTTTCTTTATTTTTTTTTAGTTGGATGTGTTTTTCTTTTGTTAATTTCATTTCCTTTTAAGTTTTAAATTAAATTGTTTCAAAAATAAAAATAAATTTGTTTATTTCACTTAATTTTTAGCATTTTTTATATTTTTTATATGTTTTTTTTATTGTAATTTAATTTCCTTTTAGTTTTTAAATTATGTTTTAAAAATAAAAATTATTTTTCTTAATTTTATTTAATTTTTAAATATTATTTTCTTTTGGTTTATTTGATTACTGTTTCTAATTTGATTTTTAGCTTCTATTGTTTTAAAAAGAATTTTTAAATTTTTTTATTTTATTTTTTCCTTTTTTTTTTTTTAATTTGTTGCGAAAACCGGACACCATAGCGCTAAGACCTCCTCGTTAACACTCTCCTTTCAATTAGTACTTCGAATGACAGTAAAGTGGTTTAAAGATAGTTGTCAGACTTTTGCCTTTCGTAAGAAAGATTCATCCGCGTTAAAAAATAAATAAAAAAAACTTTAAAATAGAAACAAAGAGAAAATCAACAAAATCCAAATAAACAATAATTACCCTGTAAACTTAATACGGGAATTAATAAATCAAGAAGTTATGAAAACAAGCATCCATCCCAATAAAACACCGAACACAGACACAACAAAAACTACTAAGAAATTTTACAGTGTAACATACATTCCCAACTTAACTGGCAATTTTGGTCACAGCATAACGAAATCACAAAACACAGCACTTGCCTACAAATCTAATTACACTCTGTCGTCAATATACACAAAAGCTAAGTGCTCAGTAGATATCCAACAACAAAACAATGTAGTGTATGAAATTAAATGTAAGGGAAATGAAATTGAGGAATGCGAAAAAGTGTATATTGGGACAACTAAGCGGCCTTTAGGTGTTAGACTAGGCGAACATGAAGCAGATATAAGAAAACAAAAAAGCAGTACAGCATTATCACAACACATCATAACAAGTGGACATACAGCTGATTTCGCAAACATAAAGATTATCGACAAAGAAAGAAGGGAGAAAACCCGATATACACTAGAAAGCCTTAGGATAATGCAAAGAAGGAAAAAGACAATGAACAGAAAAGAAGATACGGACAACATTGCGGCCGCTTACATTTCTTGTTTATGATTAGAAATAAAAATGTTTATTATTTTAGTATTGACAAAGCTACCACAAAAGATGGTACAGATGCGCTGTATTTAGGTGTTAATCAAAGTTCTTAAACATTGTGAGTTTTTTGTCCTCAAATTGTTGTTTATAATTTTTAATTCCATATATGTATATGTATGTTTGTATGCTATATTCATTAATTTTTAATTACAATGTGCCTTTGTATTTTTGGTTTGTGGCAGATTTAATAAAGCTGGATTGCCCCTGAAGATGCTAAAAATGTTTTAGCGAAACGTTGGGCCAGAAAGTGGAATAATGTAGTTTTATTCGCACTAAAAACAAAGATCAGACTAGCCTGGTAACATAATATTTAAAATATGTATTTAACTAAATACTTTTTATGGGAATGCCCCAGCCGCTCGTCTAAACACATATTTGTACTTTACGTCTGTGCTCTTTCTGCTGCCGATTGCGGGTGTTGTGACCGCTGTGAACATTATTGACGTTCACTGACGAGTTGCTCGAAGCTGGATCCACGCTGTCACCCGTTTTATTTGCTTAGCGCTTTGCGCTCTTTGCTAATTGAGTGTTTTTTCTATTTATTTATTTTTTATTTAACGCTCGTTTATTAGCTTTGCCGCTGCTGTGTTGGTTTGGCGGCACTGCTGATTGGCACTTTTTGGCGTTGCCGTACTCGTACATATCTACTACAAGCGGTAGTTATTGGCTTAGAGACAACTAACTATCAAAATAAAAGTGGTTGATATACATAGATATTTTCATATTAATTTTTTTTCGTTTAATTTGCAAAGTTGATTTTTGCAGAAATCGTTTTTAGCTTTTGAAAAAAGCCAAGTCAAGTGAAATAAGAGAAGAACTACAACGCTATGTCCATTCATACGACACCAAAATTTTTTATGTTTCTCTTTTCAATATTTTTATATAACTTTTCTGCTACTATTATAGTTTATTTTTTTTTGCTATTCCCTACTGCAGCCTCACGTGGTATTATGTAATTTATTTTTAGCTGCGCTGCGCTGCACTGCCTGCTGTTGCTGCTGCTGCTGCTGTTGCTTGCGGCTACCCACTATTTGCCATTTATGTGCACTTCACTTTGCCTTCTTCTTGCTGGCGTTTGCTTTGCTTACTTTGTTGGTTTTGTGCATTGTATTGTTGTTCTTATTGTTGGTCGTTTTGCATTTGCGCACGCGCGTATATTTAATTCGGCGTTGTTTGTCACTGTTTTTTTTTTTTTGTTTTTTGCGAAACAAGCAGCCGCCAAAATATTTGTGGATTTTGCTATTTTTGTTGACTTTTGTGCCGCTTGTTCGTAGTAAACTTGTTTGAACTTCTTGTTTACCCGCACCGTAGCGCAGCCTTGTGTGGTTTATTTTCTCCATACATATTTCTATTTGCGATTGCGTTGCTACATGGCTTTTGTTTTTCTAATATTTGCTACTTTTTGCTGTTTTGAAAAAATCTCGCATAAAAACCATTTTTAGGCATTCACATTCGCTTATGAAAGGGAGTTACTGCTGAGAGTTTTGGATTGTAGACTATTTTATTTTATTTTTTATTTTTGCTCGCGGCTAAAAGTTGCTATGATTTGTTTATGCGCGTGTGTGGAGTAGTTTGAGGATTTATTTGAATTGTTGTTACACACTTTAGTTTTTGTGTACTTTTTTTTTGACATTTTTTACTCTATTTCTTGCTGGCTATTTTTGGACATTTTCGACCGTAAATTTTGGCCTAACATGCTATTGTTAATTTTTTTTTTAAGGCTTTCTGTTGCAATAAAATTTCATTTTGAAATATTGGCTAGAAAAATGTTGTTAGAAAATTTTTGCATTCGCTTTATTGATCGTGGTTATGTATTTATTTTTATACCAAGGAAAATTTGTTTTCCTTAAAATATAATAAATTTTTTTTAAAATTTTATACCTCCCTCCAAATTATTTTAAATCAATTCAGCGGTCCTTAAGCTACATACATATATATAGCACGTTGAATAAAAAAAAAAACATTTTTGTTAGGAAAAAATTTTCATCACCAAACTTTTATTCAAGAAAAACCTCTCATGAAACTTTAATGAAACCTCAATGAAACTTTATTCAAATTAAATGAAACTTTTTTCAGATTCAATGAAACTTTATTCAAACCAAATGAAACTTTTTTTAAATTAAATGAAACTTTATTCAAATTAAGTATTAAACATTTTTAAATTAAGGAACAGGAAATCAACTTAACTTATTAAGAGCCGTTTGCACCATGTCTGGCTAACACTAAAGGCTCTGTTATTCATACTTGGCATTGCTTGAGAGTTGTCACATAAGGAATTTGTTAAATGAGCTTCGCGTGTAAGCTGTTACCCAACGCACAGCATTACATACGTAGTAGTCTGTTGGTTTATGATTTCTACGTAAAGACACGTACGTAACAGAGCCTTAACTCCCAGTTACACATCGTTATCGACGTTATCGACGCCATACTTATATCAGGGAGTCGATAACGNTGATTTCTACGTAAAAACACGTACGTAACAGAGCCTTAACTCCCAGTTACACATCGTTATCGACGCTATCGACGCCATACTTATATCAGGGAGTCGATAACGCCGATTATGATGTTTAACTGGGAGAATATTTTTACTGTTGCTACACGAATTCAAAGCTGTCAACTATTATTTTCTTAAGGGAGAAGAGGGAAATAAAGTACAAATACTCTCGTTTCTCACTCACTCGCTTAAGCGAAAAGGAAAATTTGGCAAACTCTATGGATTAGAGCACAGTCTAATAACGGCNACGCCATACTTATATCAGGGAGTCGATAACGCCGATTATGATGTTTAACTGGGAGAATATTTTTACTGTTGCTACACGAATTCAAAGCTGTCAACTATTATTTTCTTAAGGGAGAAGAGGGAAATAAAGCACAAATACTCTCGTTTCTCACTCACTCGCTTAAGCGAAAAGTAAAATTTGGCAAACTCTATGGATTAGAGCACAGTCTAATCACGGAAACATTCAACTTCGGTACAAGAATAATTTTGACATGTCCCATGACTCTTTTCTTTTTCACATTATCCTTTACATGTACTTCCGAAAACAGAGATATTTGAAGTTTTATAAAATGAATAAACTATATGATTTTCCTAGTTACCAAAACCCCTCGAAAATCACAACAAACCAACCAACCTACCAAAGCCTTATTTTAAGAAACGAAATTACCAATTTTGGTCCAATTGGACCGCAACGGCAGCACTGTATTCAACATGCCTTGACCGTAAGGGAGAGCAACACATAACAGCTAATTCAAAGTAATCCAAAAAAGAAGTTTCATTTCATTTGAATAAAGTTTCATTTAATTTGAAAAAAGTTTCATTTAATTTGAATAAAGTCTCATTGAATCTGAAAAAGGTCTCATTTAATTTGAATGAAGTTTCACTGAATCTGAAAAAGGTTTCATTTAATTTGAAAAAGGTTTCGCTTAACATGAAAAAGGTTTCATTTAATTTGAAAAAGGTTTCGCTTAATTTGAAAATGGTTTCATTTAAACTGAAAATGCTATATAAGTGATTTGCATTAAATTTCTTTAAAATATTCTGAAAATGTATTAAAAGTTAATACATTAAAATGTTCACTAAGAAATTCCGAGACCTAGTCCATACGCTTCCGTTCTCTCATTTTGCCGATGCAATTAACCACCCAGGAAACCCCATCGGCTCCACGGAACTCATCTTTACAAAAAACTCAACACCCAGATATTCATCCCGTTTCAACTCCAGTGTGAGGGCAACCAGAAGTTCTTGTACCTCAAAAGTGTAAGCGTGTGCCAGAGCAGAATATTTAGTAAGGTGACATCAATCAAATGCTACTCCTGCCATGGTTAGTCATGCCACTTGCGCCCCTTACTCCACAGTTCTGCGCTCCCATTCGCCGCCTCCACCGTTGCAGTGGCATAACCCAACATGCACAAAGAAAATATTTTTCTAACTTTTTGAATTTACTGATTCTCAAGTGGATATACAACATTTTTCTCAAACATTTTTCCTAAGGTTTGTCTAAAAGTTGAATAAAGTTTGAATTCAAATTGATATGCAAGCTTTTCTGAAGTGAAGAACTCTGATTATTTTGCATATAAAAAATGTCATTTTTTTATTAGAGAATGGGTTGCTTCTCCAATTGAGCTACACTTGAAAACCGACATTTGACCTTGGAATTTGTATTGGATCTCCACTTGATCTCCAATTAAAATATTTATTGGGGCACAATAGACCTACCGGTCGTAGTGCCATACCCAACTAACTATCTATTTAAAATATTTATTGGGAACCTTGGACATTTAGCAACTGGTAAGCCTACATAAATAGAAAAAAGCAGTTCACACAGCATCTTTCGATGGTGAACGCCAAACGTCCAGTGACCAGAAGGCTGCAAAGCCTCCCAAACCCCAGTACGCTTCTTACTTTTGACAACGATGAAGTTTTGGTCATCATTGGGATGGCAAAGGCCATCCCTACGGATTGTGAAAGTTGATGCTAGGTAATCAATCGGTTGTCGGCCACGGTGGTAAGCACTTTTTCGAGTTAAACTTTAAAACCGTTTACAATTAAATAGGAGCAAGTTTTCCCGTAAATGTTTGATCGATTTTCAAGTAAATTTTTTTAGTTTTGGCGTCCTAGATTGAACTTTGAAAACTTTTCACTTACTTAAAATTTAAGCTTTAGACCAGTATATGGCTCTCCAGGCAGTGGTCGTTGCTACTGAGGAGGAATTCGATTGTCTATTCTACTAGATGGAGTCGATATTGAAATTGCATCTATATTTTGATAGCCAACCTAGGAGAGGCTGGGTTCGTTTTTAAGTTGCAGGCGACCATTCTTCGACAGTTAAGCTTCATGTTAGTCACGGCAGTAACCACGACTTGTAAAACCACGAAGGATAGACAGGAGGCGATTTAAGGATCATATAAGCTACACATTTCCGAAACATTCAATTGTGCGAAAATTCTAAAACGTCCGGACTAAAATACGAAGAGCTCCAGATAATCCTATCATAAAAAAAACTCGAGAAATTCCGAAAAGTCTCGAAAAAATCATCGGGGTTTCTTGCTTGAAATATTAAAAAAAAAAATTCAAGTTTTTAGGCGAAGAGGAAATAATTTTCTTTCGAAAAGTTAGTCCTGTTAGTTGTATATTTTGGGGCGATATTAAAATCTTCACATAAACAAATGCTACACATTTCAACTTTTCGTGAGCCAAACGCTTCGCCAATCACAGACAATTTTTCACTATTTACTATAGCCTTCTTTAAA